AGGACACCGGAGAAGGGTCAGCCCTGACTGTGTCCTGCACATGCAGACTCAGGATTCCAGGGCCAGAGCACCTCTCCCTACCCCTCTCTGGCCCTGATACTTTGGGGTACAATTTCTCTGCTTTAGTCAGCCTAGGCCACGCACCGGCATGAGGGGCCACTGGAAGGATGCAGACTTCCAGACCATGGCTGTTTACATCTGCCCACCTGGTCTGTCCCTCGTGGCTCTGTGCGGCCGCCATGGGCCTGTTTCAGCCTTGAGTAGGATATTGGTTTGGCTGAGCCTCTCCTTGGTCCCCTCACTGGCTATGTGACTCATTTCACCCTAAAATTTCAGGAAGCATCCTGCTCACACAGTCAGGGCCTTTGTGGAAAACCCTTTGTCCAAACGATGGCACTGACCTTTGCAATTCTGCAACTGTGCCGCTGTATCAGCCTTAGAGCAAGAGCAGTGTATCCTGGTAGGGAAAAGGCTCAGAGGAAGCAGCACAGAGGATAAAGTCGAACTACAGAAAGTGATATCACATGGTATTTGTCATAGGACTGAGGAGTTAAGGAGAAGCCATAAGTGGTGGAAACTGCCACTGGCAGGTCCAGGGCAGCAGGAGCAGGAACTCTCTAGCAGGCATCCCTAGTCTAACGGGCATAGGCTTAGCAGGCCCCAAGGGGCCAAGAGCAGGAAGTCTGGGGAGCTATGCCCCATGGCCCTGCAGGAAGGGGACTGCGTCTGATGGGATGATCTAAGGACAAAGGGAGCTGAGCCCCAAGGAAAATTTCCAAGACTAAACGTTAAGCCATAGACCATGAACCATGTCCTAACTTGACCCATATGGTAATAAATCTATATCTATACACATGTTCTACGGATTTGTGAGTGTCCACAGGCTACAGGCGCTGTTAACTGTTTGTTAAGCTGTAAATATAGAAAAGATCAGTGGCCTTGAACTTAAGTTCTTCCAGAGTCCTGCAGTTGTCACAAAAAAGCAAAACATGTCAGAATGAAAGTGCTAGGTTCAGCTTCCCCTACCTGTGACCTCTGATCCTCACCTTTCAGTTTCTGAGGAGAATTCAGAATCTGCGAGTCACATGCTGGGTGCCTGGCTCACAAGGGCAGAGGGAGGATGATGGCACAGGGTGAGGCTGATGGCAGAGTCCTCTAGGGGGACCCTTCCCAGGGACACCTCTGGGCCTGGCTCTTGGGGCCGCCTCCCTAGGCCCAGTGAGTAGCCCCCAGTTACTCATGCCTGACCTCACTGTCCAGGTGGAGCAGCTTAAACCCCACCCCCAATTAGAAGAGCCTCAGCCCATGCTCTTGGAGGCCCATTCCCTGCTGGGCTCTTAGCACAGCCTCACCTCTGGACTGCTCTAGGCTCCTGCAGGGACTATGCCTTGTTCTCTCCTCCTTATCTCTCTGAGGTCTTTGCCCTGACTGGGCGACCCTGAAGACACATCCGCCCCTCGAATAGGGGGAGCTTGGATGTGGGGCCCCAATGTGGTCACAGATGGCTAGGGCAGTGGCAGCTAGCACTCCTTGTCACGTTCTGTAGTCAGGGAGAATCTCCTCTGCATGCCTGTGCCCGGGTTTTCTCCTTGGCATTCTAGGGATGACGAGTGTGGTCTTGTGGTCCTTGGTGATTATGTGAACATGGGATGTAAATACAGAATCCCCCCAAAGGCCCTACACACAGCCTCGTAGGCATCCTGCAGGTACTGGGGAGAGCCATAGCTTTAGGAGGTGGGACCACTGGAGGAATGGGCTTCAGGTGCTCTCAGAGCAGACACTGGGTCCCTGCCCCTCTTTTCAGTCTTTAGGAGGTGGGACCACTGGAGGAATGGGCTTCAGGTGCTCTCAGAGCAGACACTGGGTCCCTGCCCCTCTTTTCAGTCTTTCGTCCCAGGCACCAAAATGATGAGTAAAGTGTGTACAGATGTGCAGAGGATATGCTTCCTAATGGACCTGTTCACCCTTCCAGACATTTCCTGCCTGTACCCTCTGTGGTGGGAAGCCCCACGCCCCAATACCTGCCCTAACCAAACCTGCTCTGAACCTCAAACCTTCGCCAGGGCTGGACTCTGGTTTCCCCTGAACCCATGATGGCTTAGGGTTAAGGAAGACTGAGGGCTCTGCTGCTGGGCCTGGGCCTCATACCTGCCCTCTGCCACCCCTCCAGCTTTCATCAGGACCTGGGACAAGGCCATGGACGCCAGAATGGGTCCTCTTCCCATGTGCTTAACCTTGGGAGTGAGACAGGCTGGGGCCACAGGCTTGGCACATTGACAGCTGTTCCCAGCAGGACTCTTGGCAGGCTCAGAACTGGCCACCTGGTGAGCTGGGCACCTCCCAGGATCCAGCCCTGCTTCCTGTTAAGGTACTGAAGACTCCTGGTTGAAGCATCCAACTGGTCTTATCAGAGAGACACCAGGAAGGAACTGTGTGGGAATCCCAGTGGGCCAGAGCCTCAACTTCTACACAAAGACATGAGACAAACCTCAGCCTATCTGCAAATGAGGATTGTCACCTCCTCCTTACCACCAGGTCTCAGCAGCTTCCCTGCAGCCTGGTGACCAGCTGGTCTAGCAGGGAGCCTGCGTGGGACCCACAGGTCCCACCCACCCAAGGCTTCAGCAGGAAAGAAACTCTCTTACTGCACAAGGGGCTGCCTGACAGTGAAAAGAAGTCAGTGAGCTCAGAGGCCTGGGAGCCAGAAGCAGTAGCTCTTCTCAGGGGGCAGCTGGGCTCCTGTGACCCTCACAGAAGCCCTCAAAGTGGAACTGCCTGCAGTCTGCCTTGTAAAGGAAAAGTGGAGGACAGAGATGTGGATCAACCCTGAAAAAAACGTTTCCACAGCATCCCTGAGGAGGGAAAGGAAGACTTTCCTCAAGGGAGGCATGGAGGACATGTCTAGAGTGCAGGATAGAGATGAGTTCACTCCACAACCTGCATAGGCAGGTGAAGATTTACAGCCATGGAGCAGGACAGGCCCAGTGGTGACAAAGCACTAATGGCAAATTCAAGGCTAAGTTCTGGCCAAATGAGCGAAAAGCTTCCTGCTGAAGACAGTTGTGGGCAACCCCATCAGCTGCAGGCTGGAGGACCATGAAAGGCCCAATCAGACAGCACAGGTCAAGGAGTCAGGAGAAACTGAGCTGGCATAATCCTGGCTGAAGCAGGTCAGTGGGGAGACAAACACAGATGCCCCAGTCAGGTCCCCCTGTGGAGAGTGCCCAGAAGCATCCAGCAGACCTCTGTGCATTAGGGCATCACCATCAGGAGCAGAGAGAGGAGATGCATCAGAGATGCATCTGGGGTGAGGCTGGCTGGAAGGTGGCCCTTCTCCCCCCAGGAGCGTTTTCCCTGGGATGTAGAGGAAAATATTGTTTCTGGTCCTGAGAAAAGCTGGTCCATTGGATCCTTTGGGAGCACTTTGCAGGCTGCATGGGTGTCATGGGGCACAGGTAGGCAGTGAGATCCTTGACATTTGCTAAGCATTTTGCCCCTTGCTTTCCTGTGCCTCCCCGCCCTGTAATGGTTTCCTGAGGTGAGGCCCTGGCAGCTGTTGGATGTGACCGGAACATGAGTTAGCCAACAGCTACCTTCCTGTGCCACAGCAGGTGTTCTGGATGTGGGAAGTTGGCACAGAGTTGGGCAATGTTGGTTACAATGTTTCTACTCCATGTAGAGGAGGGATGGTTCAAAGATCTTCTCCAGTGGTGACAGAGCAGCTTTGGCCTGACAGTCTATGATTTCTGACTGTGATTCTGTTCTGTGGCCTTCAGGCTGGGGTCACCAGCAGTTCACTGATCCAGCCAATGTCTTAGTCAAGGCTCTGCAGTAGGTTCAGACTCCTGGCCTTACCCATTCTGGGCCAGACACAATCTAACTTCAGCTGATCTTCTCGGCTGTCAGCTAGGAGAAACCTTTATCTCAGGAGATAAAAGAACCATGAAATGGATATGGAGCCATGACCCAGGTTTCTGGAAGATTGATCTGAATGTGGTGTGTAGGACAGGAAGCTCATTCATTCCAAAAGCAAGGATTCCAGGATTTCCACTCCGATTGACAAAAATCCAGGCTCTTTGAATGAATCATTGGTGTTGTGTTTTTAGTAAGAGCATTGGAAATCATGCAGCAAATCCTCCCCATGTTTCCCAAGGTTTGGGCAAGGCTATGCACCCCTCATTCACTCTGGGAAAGGTACTGGGTGCTCCACCTATGACTATAGATTCCCACTGCAGGAAACTCCCACATAGACATGGAAGATCCCCTGAGATCTACAAGCTCAGGTTCTGCAGTCCTTCAGGCTCTTTGCCAACTTTCAGTCAAACATGAAGAGCCTAGAGAGCTGGAATACAGGTTTCCTGCAGCTCTCCAGTCCTTTGTGGAAATCCCAGCAAACCCTGCATCCTCCACAACTGCTTTGGACCTGTCCCTGTCTCAGACCATTCCTCCACATGTCACCTGCTGGTTTTCCCTTAGGACTGATCACCTACTTCCTCAAAACTCAGCTCACTTGGCTCCAGGAGCCTGCATTGCCTGCCAACTACTACAACACCTTGCTGTGCTTTTCCAGGGAGCCCAACGACCTAAGGCTTGGTGGATGGCGGAGTGGGGATAGGAAGCCTTCTATTTCAGCTATTCAGTCCTGTCAAATTAAGCAGCTCAACCTAGAGCTTAGGCTCCAACACAGAGGAGCATATACACAGCAGAAGGAGAGAGAAATGTGGTAGGGAAAGGTCCAGACCCACTTCTGGAGAGTAGAGAGTGGGTCCTGGTTCTGGGGAGGAAGGGGAGGAGGTAGGGAGGGAGTATGTGAGAAGGAATGTTGGTGTCTGCAGTGGGAGCAGCTGACAGTGGCATCCACAGGGCACCTCATAAGGCCCTCAGAATTCAGGGCGTGAGTCGGGACTCTAGATTATGAGATGAAGCCCAGAAACATGGAAAGCACCCTTGTTCCTGCTCCACCCACCAAGAGGATCAGAACCAGGCACTGGCTCAGCACCTGTCTGGAAGATCATTGCACTTGAATTCATGCCAACACTGTGCCTATCTGTGGTGCTTTAATTGTTGCGCTGTTTCACTGCTGGTCTTATAAAGGGAAGCCAGGGTGAGACACAGAGAGAGCCAACTTTCCTTTCTTCTCCAGGTGAGAACCCACAGCTTCCTTCCAGCTCAGATCCAACCCCTTGTGAAGAAGGGCTTGGTATACTGAGAGCGCACATCTGCCTTGTGGGTTGGCTGCTGGCTGCTGGGAATGTGGCTTTGGATCTGGGAGATCCGTGCCCTTATTTAAGAGTCTGTTTGTCTCAGAATACGATGGTCAAAGGCTCTCCATACACTGACAGGCTCCCTGGCTCTGCTCCCTGGAAGTCTTTTCTGCACATTGCCCATCATCCATTGCAGCCTGGGGAGCTCAACATCTTCCACACCATGCAGGAAGAAAATGCCCTGCATGGAAAGCCTCCCTGGGGAGGAAAGCTCATTTCCCCTGAGGGCCTTCTGGGTCTCTTTCCAAAGGAATGGATGACGATGTGCATGCATGAGTGAGCGGAACTGCTGCCTGTCACTTGGGCTGTTCGGTGACTGGGTTTCACTTTCTGGGCATTCTAGGTTTGTCTACAGTGTCACCATGCCCCTGCCCTCCACCCTGAAGAGCATCTTCACCTTCTGTGTCTCAGCTGCCTTCCTGCTCAGCACTGTGGGTAAGAATGCACCATCCTTCCTCCCAAAGCCAGAAGGGTGAGGTGGGAATAAGGTTCCTAAGGGCGACACTGCTGGCCTGGAGCCTACAGGGCTCCACCTGCTCCTGGAGGTAGCTTTGCGGCAGCTTGATTGCTAGGAGTATTCTATTGCAGACTTCAGCCGCCGTGCTCCAGGGCTGTCTTTCTCAGATTTGTCTTTTGAAAATTTTGATTCCTTCTTAGAGAGTTACACATGTACACAGTGCTTCTCGGACGAATGCACCTCTAACCCCTCCAAAACCTGCGAGACCTCCCAGGGCTGCTTCAGCCACAAGGAAGTGCTGGAATTTACAGGTAAGCCACACCTGCTTCCACCTCTGCTCCCAGGCAGATGAGGCAGACAGGAGGAGGCCCTGGGAGGGAAGGGCTGGCCTAGCTCAGAAACATTGGAGCCTTATTCCCTCAGGTAGCTTTCCTGTACCCCTCGTCTGCCCACAATGTCCCAGCAGCACAGAAATCCAACACAGACTCTCTGGGGACAGGGCGGGATGATCCTGTTGCCTACTTCATTTCCTGCAGCCACTTGGCAAATGAATCTGCTTCTTTGTATATGTGATCTTCATTTCAGCCACAACTAGCAAGGGGCCCCCAAACTGCCCCCTTTCTGAGAAGCCCTTCCTCTGTGCTCTGCCCTGGGGAAGGAAACCAGGCAGTTCTCTGGAATCATGGAAAAGTTAAAGACTAAGTGAATAAAGACCCTGGCTCCTGGAATGCCAACTGCTAACCTGTCCTCAGTCACCCTGAACCTCAGGTGCAAATTCTCTTTGGGGTTTGGCTCTTTGCAGAGCAAAGTGGTGGCCTTTACCAGGTTAAAGGCTGTTCTCCAGGAGCCTGCACCCCTCTGGCCTTCTCAGCAACACTGGGGAACAAAATGACATTCAGCTACAACCGCCAGTGCTGTGACAGTGAGCAGTGCAACAAGGAGGACATCCCCAGTGAGTGCCCCTCCCCACCTGCTCCCAAGGCTGGGGTTTGGCTTCTGTCTTTTCCCTAACCCATCTGTTTGACAGTGTCCATCTGTCGAAGACACCAGGTGCTTTCCTTGTTGCCCCTTCTCCTCTCCCAGGTGCTCCTTAGTGGCCCAGCTCTATGGATTGGCAGGGGCTGACCCTGTGGGTTTTCTCTAAGGGCGAGCCTATGGCTTTAAACCCTAGCCCCAGCCAGTCCAGCAGAGACCCTGTCCTCTTCTGCTTAGTTCCTCATCTGTTCAGCAGCATCTCTCTACCACAGGTTATTTTCCCTCCCATCATCCAGCTGTTTTCCCCTAGCTGGGCACAGAGGATGATGGATGAAGGGAAAGGGAACACCAGACTCTTGTGAGATCCCTTTGTTTAAAAATCACGCTTTCCACACCAAAAACCTCTTCCTTCACCGTGCTAGTTGTACTTTTTCTGAGGGATCTTGGAATAATTCTGCTATTATGGAATAGTAATACTCTTAATAGTAACACTCTTAGCAATTTTTCTTCTTATTGCTCAACATGAAAATTACCTTTCTTCATTCAGTGTCTCCAGTAGACTCCAAACTCAATGGCATTGTGTGCCCTGCTTGCCTCAGTTAAAAAGGCCAGACCTGTGACCCAGTCTCCTTGTACTGCACAGGGGAGGAGAAGAAGTGTGTTGAAGTGGCCAGCAAAGGTATGGCCCTTCCTGAGCACTCTGCTGCTCCTCTCTGAGGGTGCAGATCATGAGCATCCTTACCCCCAGTTCAGAGGTCTGGATGGGGCACAGCATGGTACTTCTGACTGTGGGTGTCTTGTGGCATCACCGTCATGTTGGCAGCAGGTACTCTGATCACTGAGGGAGGACCTGACTCCCAGCTCAGCTGCTTCTGGCAGTCTTAATTGCTCTGAATGGGGGCCTCTGCACAGACTGTGGGCTCCTCAAGGCACAGAATCTGGTTTGCCACAGAGGGAGTGATGAGATACACAGAGAGGGAATTCTCAATAGTTTAATCTCTTCAGTGATGGGTCAACATTTCGACTTCTTGTGATGATCCCAGAGGCCAACCTGAGTCCAACCTGAGGCAGCATGGGAGGCTGCTGCCCAAGGCTCCACTGCCAGGAAAAGGGAACTGTGGGGCCTTTTGAAATGTTGAACTTCAAAGTTCAACATTTACACATGGTAAAGGGGCTTCTGGTCCAAGGACTGGGCTGTACCTGCAAGGTTTGGATGAAGTCATGGCTGGAAAAAGAGGAGAGGTCAGGAGAAAAGCAGAGAAAACGAGGCCTCCTCCTACAACAGACACTGAGACTTCCGGACACATGTATGACTGAACTATTGAGGAATGGTACCTTGGCCCAGTGGCAAGGAAGGGGTGACACTCCAGCTCTGGTTGTCATCCTCACTACCATTGCTATTTCCCCAACCCCATGATTGGACACTTCAGTTTCACATGGTGTCATTCTGCAATCACTGAACCCTTTGTAATTTTTCTGAGCTACCGAATGTCTGCCTGTGGTGAAGGGCTCATGTTCCATTTAGAGAGGAGGTGGGAAAGTGGGGGTGGTGCAGTTAGGTGCAGCCCTGTCCATTCTTTCTTGATTAACAGGTAAAAAGCTTGGTGGAACTAGGAGCTAAAGGAAGAGACAGAGTTTGATGAAGCTGAGGGCAAATTGTGACTTTAAATGATCAAGCAATATTCAGTGCACGTATTTATAGATAAATGAAATAAGGTGATGGTAAAACAATTGATATAAAATATAATTATCATTCGGTAACTGGTAAATAAGTGAATTCTAAAAACCTATGATAGTTCCGATTTATGATTAAAATTGTAATCCTGTCTCTTTTGCTAAGAGAAAGAATTAAGTTTCAAGTATTTTAATTTTATACTCAGTTATATTTTTTTAAAGAGGATTTTGAAAGCCAGTTTGAAACCAGCAGTCTAAAGGTGCTGTGACTAGAGGAGTACAGGTGAATGAGGGCAGTGGGGTGTCATGTAGGACACAGCGGAGAGCTGGCACTATCCATAGGGGGACAGTCACTCTGCCCCAGTGTAAGACAGGAAGCGTGGACATGCTGTGACTTTTCACAATTGTTGTCACAAGGGACTCAGAACCCCAGGAAGGAAGGATCTTGCCTTAAGGGAGGGCCACACAGCTCCCTGGTATCACCAGAGCAGCGATGGTAAGGAAGAGGGCAGGTAAAATAGGAGGTTTCTAGGTGAACACACGAGGTCCAACCTGCAGTCTCCTTCCCTGCCTGCATCAACCACATCTCTCTTAGAGCCCCCAGAAGCCATGGTCTCATCTCATACCTGAGTCTTCAGGGTCCTTTAAGGACACTTGCACTCTGGATGGAAAATAGGACAGAGCAAGTGAACCTGCAGACTTTGGGTGGAGCTGGAACTGTGCTTGAGGTTCTCCTGTGAAGGCTGAATCATGTGTCCTGGCACGCTGAGCACCTGGTTTCCCAAGGAAACCAGCATGAGGATGGGAAGGGGAGAGAAGACTAGAGACAAGACTGACTTCTGACCCTTTCTCTTTGGCAGTCATGGCTAATAACAAAACTGAGTTCTTTGCTATGGGCTGTGTAACTGAATCCGCCTGCAACCTGAATATGGAAATACTGGGTGGTGCAGAGATCCAAACAGAATGCAAGGGCACGAGCAGCGGGAGCCCCCCACTGAACTCCGTTGCCTCAGCTACCCTGACCAGTCTCTTCCTGCTGAAAGTCTTGCTTTGATTGTGGGCACTGGAAAGTCCATAATTCAGTAAAACGTTAGAGGCCTTGGATGGTTCCCTTCCCCCAGCCTTTCTCCACAAGGACCGGATTAAAAAGCTGGTGTTTCCATAAATATGTGTAGAATTACTCATCTGCAGTTACGTTTTAGAAGTCCTTCTCTTTCCCTCGTGCTTGCTTGCCCACCCTGAGCAGCACAGCCTGGGGTTCTGCGACGCCATCTCTACAATCCCTCCTTCATCACAGCCCAAGTCCTCACCACTGCTCTGGACAGTTTCTCTCAGTCCAGGGTAATGATTTGGATGAGTGATTCACAGTTCTGAAGGGTCCCTTCCCACAGTTCATATACTCCCAGGTACAATTGAAACCCTCCTCCATGTGTGTATGGAATTCCTCCTGTATACTGTGGATGCTTCCACTTCCAAGTGCGAGTGGGCATAGGGCTTAGGCCTGTGAGGTTGTTCTGAGCCCATGGCACAGTGTGGAGTGACAGCTCCAGGGTCCCCAGGACTGCTGTGTGTGCTCCCGTGGCCTGGCTCTAGGAGCCCTGCCTCCACTCTGTGTGACACCTGGGAAGAGGCTGGGGGCACCATAGAGAGACAGCCTTTGAAGAATTCAGATCTGTGTCATGTTCTTAGCATGCTGACCCCACAAGGAAGCAATCCTGTGTCTGTGCATGATGTGATTCTCCAAATTCAGTTCATCTCCTACCCTAAGCAGCATTGCAGGAGCCCTTTGAGAGGGCATCTCTGTGATGCTGTGTTTGAGAAATTTTCTGCTACTATCTCTGCAAACAGTCTTCTTATGTCCTTTGTGTTGCCTCCTTTTTTGTTGACAACTATCAGCCTTATATTGCTTTTCTTTGCATCATCTTGCAGCTATTACATTATTTCCTGATTCTTTGTTGTTTTTAAGATGCTTTCTTTCATAATCACTAGATGCATTCATGTCTTCAAGGTCTGAATTTCTGTCTTCAGTTTCACTTGTGTGATTTGGCTAGCTTTCAGTGGAATTTTTGATTTCCTGATTATCACCTTGAATCTGTTTCATGTATTCTAATTCTTTCCTGTTTTGTTCATTCAGAGTTTCCATCATTTTCCTATGCTCATCTATTTTTTACTCCATGGCTTCTTTGGAGATATTCACCAATACTTTCATTATGTTTATCACTTCTGTTTTTAACCTGAGAAATTATTTGTGATCTGTTTTCCTTTATAGCTTCCTAGAGTTTATTTCCTTCTTTCTGTTGTTCTCATTTCAGAAATTTCAGGTGTGTGATTTTTAAATTCATCCAACTCTATGTGCCTTGGACTTGGTCTGGATGGGTTAAAAGGTTGAGATTGCATTTTGCTCTCTCATTTTGGCATTTTCCTGTGCTCCTTTGAATCAGGTGGATACCAAGTCATAGTTGCTTCCTGTTCTGGTGGGCTGTCTGACAGGAGGCCTCACTGAAGGTGGCTGTTGGTTCTGGGTCACTGGGCACAGACACCCAGTTGCCCCAGGCTTCACCGAGTGTTTTTGGATGCCTGCAGGTTGCTCTGCACAAGGTTCCAGTCCCTGTGGGCCTCAGAGATGGATCCCAGGTATCAGTGGGTCATAAGGAGCAGGCTCCCATTCCTAGAAGTCCTTACCAAAGGTTCCCAGATGACTCTAAGTCCTTGGACACAGACTGCCAGTCCACACAGGCCTCTGAGATAGTGTCTGGGTATCAGTTGGCCTGTAGGTGCAGCTTCTCAGTCCCCAAGAGCCTCCCCAAAGGTTCCTAGATGACTGTGGGTTGCTGAGCATAGACACCTGGTCCTCTCAGGCCTCAGGGATGGTTTGAAGGTGTGGGAAGGTCTCTGGATAAAAGTTTTAGTAATATTTTTTCTCACTTTTCATTATAGGATAGCTTGTTAGATGTTGGTCAACTCTGTCAGCCGCATCCAGAGAATTCTTATAATCACTGAACACTACTGGAATTTTTTAGTTTTTTTTCTTTCATGTTCTATCATTTCCATAGTATGGATAGTTGACAATAAGAAATCGTTTTTGTCTTTCCAAATCACAACACAGGCCTTTCCTCTCTGATATGCTAACATTTCTCCTTTCTTCAGTTTTGCAGATCTTTTGACACTTCCTTCCTGTTCAGTCTTAGTGTCTGAAATATGTCTCATTTTGTTAAATTTTTTAATTTTAAAGTGATTAAAACAAAACAATATAGGATTTCCAAAGAAGATGATAGGAATTTAACAATGGTCACCATATTTCATACTGTTATCTTCAAAATAGTTGCTCAAATTACCAACACAGGCATGTAAAACAGATCAAACAATATAAGCCCTCACAGTTTCTTTCCATGAAGCAGTAGAATTAGTAGTACAGTTACCTTAGCCATCTTGTGAGTTATATGTGTGTATGTCTATCTATCTATCTATCTATCTATCTATCTATCTATCTATCTGTCTGTCTGTCTGTCTGTCTATCTATCTGTCTGTCTGTCTGTCTATACCTATATTTTCCCCTTTTCTTTTTTTCTCTTTTTCCCTGTCCCAGTTGTTCCTTTCTTTGGGGTGATTTCTTTCCCTTTCACAATATCTAATGTACCATGTACCTACTGAATCTTACTTATTTTTTAATTTCTTACACAGAGGAGGGAGACAATATAATGGTTATACAAAAGAGTCTTATTTCACTTATGAGAATCGTTTCTAGTGGCATCCATTTACCTATAAAAGCCTCAAATTTATATTCCTTTGTAGCTGAGTGATACTACGTTGTATAAAAATACCACATATTTTAAAATCCATTTTTCATTTTCCTGGCATTTGCTGTGTTTCTACAATTTAGGTATTACAAATTGTGCTGCTGGAAACATGGGTTCCACATACCAGTGTTCTTTGATATTTTTAATTCTTCTGAGAAAATACCCAGAAGTGAATAGCTAGATCAAATGGTGCCTCTAATCCCAGCTTTTTGAGTAATTTCCACACTGATTTCCACAGGGGATGGACCAGTTTACACTCCCATCAACACTGCACAATGATTCCTTTTTCCACACAGCCCCACAAGCATTTGGTATTGGTTGATATCTTATGATGCCTTTCTTTCTGCAGTGAGATGGAATCTCAGTGATATTTTAATTTGCATTTATCCAATCACCAATGTTGTTAAGCATTTTTCATATATTTGTATGCCATTTGTATTTCTTGAACTGTGTATTTAACTCAGTGGCCCAATTTTGGACTGAGTCTTTGAATTTTGGGAGGTCCGACTTTTTGTAATTCTTTATATGATCCAAGTAGAAGTCCTCTGTCTGAGGGACACTTGGCTAAGATTTTTTCCCAATATGTGGGCTTCATTTTCACTCTGTTGTTGATTGTTTGACATACAAAACTTTTTAGTAAAATGAGATCCCAGGTATTGATACTTTGAAGTACTTCCCATGAAGTTTGGTTTTTGTTCATGAACTCTTTACCTACTTTTATGTCTTCAAGATTTCTAGCTACCTTGTCATCTAGGAGATTGAGTGGTTATGTTTTAATACTTCGATCTTTCATCCATTTTGACATTAGTGCATAGTGATAGACTGGGTTTAGTTTTAGTCTTTAGCATGTGAAAAGCCAGTTTTCCCAGCACCATTTGTTAAACAGGCCATCATTCATCCAGTGGTTATGCCAACATGTACTCTTTGTATTGTGAAAGAACATTACTGAGTTCTGAAAAAGTATAAATATTATATGTAATATACTTTCATACATAGAAGATTGCATAGATTGCAGCACAGAACTACACATTATTTTCCAAAAATAAAATAAATGTGAATTAGTATGTGAAAATAACCTGAGCTTATTAGATTTCACTATAAACAAGCATCACAAATGAATACAATGTTCTAAATTTAAAAACAAGTAATCAATGTAAAACAAATTGACAGATGTAAGAGTATCTGAGGCAAACAAGAGCCTCGTTGTCCCTCAGACAAAGGACAAATACTTAGAACTGAAAAACATCAGGCTGCCCAAATTCAAAGACTCAATCCAAAAATAGGCATCTGAAATGAACACGCACTTCTCAGATGAAGAAATAGAAGTAGGAAATAAACACATGATGATATGCTCAACATTACTGGTCATTCAAGAAATGCAAATTAAAACAGCACTGAGATTCCATCTCACACCAGAAACAATGGCTGTCATCAAAAATTTCAACCAATATAAAATGCTGGTGAAGCTGTGGGGGAAAAGGAACATTTTCCCCACTGCTAGCAGGAGTGGAGACTGCTGAAAACACTGTAGAAATCAATGTAGACATTTTTCAAAAACCTAGATTGAAAGTCCCATTTAATCCAGCTATTCCCCTTCTGGGTATTTTCCTAGAAAAATTGAAAATGTCATGCCACAGTGATATATGTGTCTCCATGTTTACAGCAGCACAATTTGCAATAGGTAAATCTTGAAGACAACCGTAATGTCCATCAACTGTAGAATGGATAAAATGATGTGGCATTTTTATACAATGGAATATTACTCAGCTATACAAATGGATAATCTTGAGGCTTTATAGGTAAATGGAGACAAATTGAGACCATAGTCACAAGTGAAATACATCAAAAAAAGAAGGAGGAGGAGGAGCACAAGAAGAAGGAGAAAAAGAAGAAGAAGAAGAAGAAGAAGAAGAAGAAGAAGAAGAAGAAGAAGAAGAAGAAGAAGAAGAAGAAGAAGAAGAAGAATTATTGACTGGTTGAAAGGAAATCTGCCCTAGTGATGCTTGGATAGCCAGGACATAAAGAAGCACACTGCCCAAGTAACAGTCAGGTAAATGCCTAAGTAGTTAATTTGATCATGATTCAGGAGATTCAGTCCATGGTCAGCAGGCTCCAAACCAGGAACATTGTGGGGAAAGGGCATGGCATAAGAAACTTGCTTGCCCATGGTTTCCAGGAAACCATTTGATCCACTTATCAAAAAGGAGCCTGGGAAGGAGATCTGTCTCTCTTTCAATGACATGTACCCCCCAAACTCATTATAGAATCTTCAGCTAGAGACTCATCCACTGATCCATCCGCTGAGTAGAGAACCATACTTTAGTGGTGTGTCCCAGCTAGCCATATGTGTCCTGGAGAATCCAACCTCTGCCCTGTCAAGTGCCAAGGCAATATATATGGCTCAAGGAGAAGCCTGTGTTTGAAGGAGCCCAACAAAGTGACCTCTGCCATTAGTGAGGAGCCAGATACCTGAAGGAGGAGAAGAGACCCACCTATCAGGTTTTCATCACTCCAGGAAACTTAGTTTAGAGGAACTCATGTGACTGGCCCACAGCTTTGCATCATATTGCAGTCAGTCATTCAGTGCAGGAAGGGGCTCAAACTTAATCAACTCATCACGAGTATATAGAATTCAAGTAAATCATAACCAAAATAAATTCACACCCAGGCAAATAATAATTTAGATCCTAAAAATTCAGTACAAGAACGGAATATGACAAGATGTCAAAGAAATGAAACAGATCAGTGTGTAAAGGAAAGCCCATCAGAATCACAGTAGACTTCTCAACAAATGCTCCATACAAGAACAGCTTGGAGAAAACTACTTCAAATCCTGAAAGAAAACAACTTCCAATCAAGATTGATGTACTTGAAAAACAATCTTTCAAAATATACGGAGAAATAAGATACTTTCATGATAGAGAACAACTGAATGAATTCATGACCAGCAAACCCATCCTACTGAAAGATGCTCTAGAAAGGAGCAAAGATGATCACAATTCCAATAAAAACAACAAAAAGAAAGCACCAATCAGGGCATGCACTTAAATAGAGGTAAAAAGTAGAAAACCAACAACAGAAAGATAGCATAACAAAGTCAACACCTGTCAGTTATAAGCATCACTGTGAATGGCCTCAATGTATCAATTAAAGGAAACAAACTGGAAGGGTAGATCAAGAAACAAAATGAAATAATTTGCTGTGTGAAAGAAACATTTAAGTCAAAAGGAAAAGCATAGAATGAAAGTCAAAGGATGAAAACACTAGTCAGGAACCCAGGAAAAAGCAGAGGTAATTAATCTGAAACCCCAGAAACTACACCAACAGATTTCTAAACTTAATCATCAAATTCAGCAGCATAGCTGCTTACAAAATCAACACTCACAAGGCAATAGCTTTGCGGCATGCACCAACAAGCTCAGAGAAAGAAATTAGGGAAATCACATCTTTCCCAGTAACATCCCCAAAATGACATATTCAGAATCCATTCAACAAAAAAAAAAAAAAATCAAAGATCGAGGTACTGAAAATTATACTATTCTGAAAAAAGAAATCAGACAGGAATTCATTAAATGGAAAGGTATCTGTTGCTACTAAATAGTAACAACCAATATTGTGAAAATGACTATACTTTCAAAACTGTTGTACAGATTTAGTGCAATCCTAGGCAAAATACCATCTGCATATCTCACAAGTCTAGAAAAATACATTCTGAAAATGCATGTGAAACCAGGAGAGACCTACAACAGCAAGAGTCATGGTGGGCAACAAAGGTAAGCCAGAAGGCATCACAGTCACTGAAATTATATCACAAAATTGCTCAAATAAAATCAGCATGGTACTGGCAAATAAACAGACCTGAAGATCAACTGAACAGAACAGAAGTAACAGATACAACTACAAACACACTCAGCCACCTTATGTGTGACAAAGGAGCAAAATATGTTCAGGGAATAAAGCTTCTTAATAAGTAGAGCTGGAAAAATTGGTTGTTCTCCTGCCAAAGACTTAAACTGGCCCCAGGCCTATAGCCATGTGCCAAAGTAAAGTTAAAATGGGAAAACATCTAAATATTAAAACAGAAACATCAAATGTACTGAAAACCATATAGGTGGAAATTTTGAGGACATAGTGATAGGCAGAGAGTTCATGGACAAAAACCAAACTGCATGGGGAGTATTTCAAGGAATCAACAACTAGGATCTTACCTTATTAAGAGTTTTTGCACATCAAAGTAAATTACAAACAGAGTAAAGAGACAACCAATCATTCAGAAAGGTTTTTGCCAACTGTAACTCGGACAAAGGACTTTTATCTAGAATGTACGAAGAAGGTCTGGTGAAGGAGAGCTTGGAGATGGGCAGAGCCCGGCACCATGGTGACATCAATTAGTCACCCTTGGCGTGGAGAGAATTGGCAGGGTTAGCTGATGTCGAACTATGTCTCTGGATGGGACCCAATAAGCAGATACAAAATTGTCGTGACTCTGTGATGTCCACAAGGTACAGCCTAACTTGCGATTGACTGGCACAGAGGCTCGAGGCTAGCCTGCACCATCACTACATCCCTGAGGGTACCTCACATAACAGCAAATTGGGGAGGGCGGCAAAACTCCAGTCAGCATGCTTCCAAAAGACCCTAAGCAATCAGAGAGGGCCACAGACCCCCAGGATACACGAGTCTGCAAAAAACCAGAAACATAAAAAGAGATAGAAATTTAAAAAAAAATCTCCAGCTGCTGAACCTGGGAAAATAAGTCCAGAAGAAGTAAATACAGAAGAGAACCAGTGCAGTAATCATGCAATATTAGACACAGCATCAGCAGAAATAAATACCTCCATGACCTCACAGACGAATTTAAAACTGTACTTCTGATCCAAGTGAGGCAAGATATAAAAATATTAATTAAAGAAATGATAAACCCTCCCAACAGAACACAGATGAAACAACAGAGGAACTCAGAAAAGAAAGAGAAACCTGTGATGAAGAATTTAAAGATAACCTAGAATACATGAAAGAGATCCAGAGATTAGTAGGAAACTAAAAACTCCATTGAAAACTGGCAAAATGCCTTGACAGAAACTAAAGTTAGCCTTTCACAACTTGAAGAGAGATTTATGAAATACGATTGCAAAAGAAAAGACCTCTTAAAAATAATGAAGAAACAGAAAGAAACAATTCAAAGGCTAGAAAATGACAAAAGGATACATAACTTAGGAATAAAACACATGAGTGAGGAAGCAGGAGTAACCAAAAATGAACTACAAAGAATATTCACAGATATATTAAAGGAAAACTTCCCAAGCATAGGAAAAACAAATCATATCCAGATAAATGAAGCATACAGAACTCCAGCCACCTACAACCAAAACAGACCTATACCCAGACATATAATAATCAAGATTCCAGAAATCTACCAAAAGAACAGAATACTAAAAGCAGCCAGGGAAAAGAAGTAGATTACCTACAATGGAAAAGTTATCAAAATAACAGACTTATCAACACAAACTCTCAAATCCAGAAGGACATGAGGGGAAATAGTCCAAGCCCTGAAAGAAAATAATTTGCAACCAAGAATGATGTACCCAGAAAAACTCTCTCTAAAAATTAATGGAGAAATAAGATGTTTCCAAGACAAGGAGGAACTGTGGGAGTTCATGGCCATGAACCCAACCCTACAAAGAATGCTGAAGGACATTCCAGAGTGAGAGAAGAAGGGATCCCAGGATTCCAGCAACAGTGGCAGAGAGGCCTCAATGAATGGGGCAGACAGTGGAATGTGGGAGTAAGGTGGACAAATTATAGCAGTAAAGTGGAGTAGCAGACATGAGGCAGAGATGGTAAGCTATAATCTTTAATACAGATAGCCTTAATACTCTAAAACAAAAAAAAAGCAGGCAGAATAGATTAGGAGGCAGTCTCCATCGAGATGCTCTGAATGGGAAATACACTCAACCCGATGGAGGGTTAATAAACTGAAAGTCAAAGATGAGAAAGCAAAGCTATATGTGACAGGAAACCAGATAGAAATAGGGTTAACTCATCTAGCATCTGCAGGTAGATTGGAAAGCTATGACACTTTTGGGCAGTGTAGAGGAAGGAAGGAAGGAAAATCCTATGACTTTAGTGAGTAAAGGAGTACAGCTCAAGATCAAGGTCAGGGATAGAAAGGTTCAGCAACACTCAAATAGACAATGGGCTGGCCCCCTAATCTAAAAACTAAAGGGGCTAGTGAGACCCAAAATGTACAAAGCATCCTGAGAAGGGGAAATGTGAAAAATAGCCTAAAACAGGAAGGCAGAGGTCACTGTTAATAGTGTATCAGGATTTAAAAGTCACAGTAGTCTTATTGCTCTGTTTAGTTTGATTATATTTTGTTCTGGTCTGTTCACTCATATCAGATTTAAGGACACAGATATCTAACCCAAAAATAGTAGGTTATACCATGGTAACTATCCTCAATTTCCTATTAACTTAAACTCAAACTCTGTATTACTTATATTGTCTTACTATGTCTGATCTTAGTTGAGTCTGGTTTTTTAGACCACGGGTTTGCCTTGGCTGATTTTCTTCGAATTTGGTATGCTTGATAGTATCAAGTCTAAAAGCAGAGGCAACTATTCTGAAGATGATAAGATGTAAAAGATATCCATACCGGTTTTGATTATTAACTGCTCTCAAGTCCCACAATGTTTTAAAAGTTGTTTTTTTATAAAAATGGCTACATAATACTGTGCTAACCTATATTAAACCTGATGATGTGGACAAGTCTATTAAAAATAACAAGAGAAGGCATAATAACTAACACTGTATTAGATGATTAGATCATCTAATACAGTGGTCTTAGGTGTCTTTTTCATTGCATGTTTTTCTAGGTATTTGTTTTGTTGTCTCGTTATGATCGGGTTTTCCGTATAATACAGAGAGGATAGATATACATGTCGAAATTCACACATGGGAAGAGT